TTTTTTTTTTTTTTTTTGGTAAGAGCTCATCTCTGTGCCCTGGAAGTTTGTATTAGAGGTAAACAACATGTAATTCTTGTACTGGATGTAGTTTACAAGCAGTTGAAGTGTATCTCCCTTGGCTGGATTAGTGTGTGGTTAACTGCAAGGCTCTTTGGGTGAAGCCACTGGCATAATCAGAATCCATGGCTTGCAGGAGGAGGTGAGGCAGCAGGGGCTAGGAAGGCTTGCAGTGGCAGCTTGCTTTTAGATTCAGCTGCATGGCTTTCCTCCAGCCTGCAACAGAATAAAATCCCTAGGCTGATTTCACCCTTCTCCTTTCTTTTAGTTATGTTGGCTCTTTAAGGTATTGTGGAATGACAGCTGTGACTTTTATGTTTTCTGTGTTTTATCTTGAAACGAACTCAGTCTGTGGGTTTTGCAGCTTAATCATGAGTGTTGGACTATAAATGTGTGATATAATAATGTATTATTGGCACACAAGATTAGGGAGAATATATTTTGCCACATCAGTTGGTGTCTACCAAATCTCCTGAGCTAAAACCTTGGAAGAAAGGAGTGCATCATGTCCCTAGCCTTAAATGTCTGTTCATTTGGGGGTGTTTCCTATTGTGAGCATTCAGATGACTGTGTGCCTTCTAGCTCCATAGGAAGACTTCCATTCTGTTGATGAAAGGTTAGGCCTTTAAACATAGGGAAGATTGTCTGTTGACACCAAGGGCATATGTGTTCCTGTGATACACAAAAGTACTTCTGAGATTTAAATGGAAAGCATTTTCATAGATTATACTGTATTTTCTTGTACAACTGGAAACAAAGATGAATTCAGTTCAGTTAATGAATAAAAAATGTTCTGTGAACCTAACAGCAATAACTAGACTAAACATCTAGTCCTGTAATCACAGGCAGTCCAGTAGTCCATGTAGTCCAGTCATGCAGTCACATTTATTTCACATTCTAATTGGGAAGCCTAATGCATTCCTACTGAATTTACAGTTTAGAGATTGGAAATTGTTTTTTGTTTGTTTTCTTTAGGGCTGAAAAGTTGATTTCTGAATTTTGAACAAAACAGAATAAATAGAGTGTAGTCTCTCTTCATCTTCTGTGTAACTGAAAGCAAAAGTAAATGGAGCCCTTTCTGTACAATAGAAACAGAAAATTGCTTGCATCCTAGAAACTACAAAACCCAGTATTCAGGCACTGCAAAAACTAAAACTCATGTGCTTGACAAAGCACCTGGTATTTTGACATGTTTCCAAAAGTTATAACCTCAAGTAATAAATGCAGTTTAAAGATAAATTGATACATTTTAAATAGCCCATTTTAATTAAGACCAATTTGTTGAGCTGTGTGGTATATAATTGATCTATTACAATATTAAATAATATGATATGTGATGTATTATTATATATTATATAATAGTAAACACTCACCAAACTTCACATATTCCTGTTAGACTATTCAGTGGGGATTTCTTTAGTTTTATGATGGTCCTTCCCTTTTAAGTTTGCTATTTTAGTAGTAACATAAATGAAAATTCTTGTTTGTATGTATTTGTTGTCATTCTGGTCAAAATTCTGTCTAGACTTTTCATTACCTTTCTTCACATTCTTATTCAAATTTATAAGGTGTCTTGATTTTTTTTTTCCCTTAAGAAAAGTTCAGAAGTATTGCTATTTTTTTTTTTTTTAGCCCAGAATACTGCTTTAATTTCTCTGTAGAGACCAGTACAGGAACATTGTTTTTAAAAACTGAAACTAAAAGACAATGAGAATTATACTTGAGAAGTATAGCTGTACATTTTTTTGCATGCTGTTTACTCAGACTTGAAATATTTAACCAATTAGTATTACCCAGCAGCTACACAAGGTAACTATCAGCATTCCTATTGTCAGGGGGACTCCAGACTCCGAATGCTATAAATGCTCCCTGTTTAATCCAGGACTGGTTCAGTGCACTTCATCTTTAGGAAATTTTTTCCTGTGTTCAGGAATTACACATTATTCACATCACATATTGCGTGCCTGCCTTGCTTTTTCTTTGTCTCTAGAAGCTGGGATGCTCTTTGACAGTGTTTCACTATGTTTTGTAAAAGCTTGTCCTATCACCTGTTTGTGTCTTCATTCATCTGCCCAGCAAGCCTTTGACCACCATTCTCCCTTAAATAGACTTTAAATCTTTTTGGTATATTTGGTATCACCAACTGGATGAGTTGGGTGGGTGGATGTTTCAAATATAAATAATTGAAGTTTTACAAAAATGTGTGTGTGGGTAGATTTAGCCTATCATTGCTCCCACTGTGGAGTATGAACTTATTATTAAGTATGGTATTTCAAAACAGGGATCTCAGCTAGGTAGGAGGCACTAGAGGATTTGTTGTTTCTACAAATCTTATGCTTTCCCATCCTGTTCAGTTTGATTGCAGTAAGATTTTGTGTGTTCAAAAAAATATTTCTTTCATTTTGGACCATCTGGAGTTCATCCATGTTGAGTCAGTGTCAGATATTTTGTTAAAGTCAATTGAAAATATTGTTCCGATATGTGAAAAAATTCTGTTGGGCAGATAAGAACATCAGGTTAAGGCAAGGGGAAGATAGCATCTTAATTGTACCAAAAGGCAGAGTTGTTGTGTGCTTAGTAGTATTGAGAGTCAGGTTCTGCAAAAATCTGTCTTTGGATACTGTGGTGGTAATCTGGTAGGAATTCAGGTGAATATGGAAGGCAGAGATTTTATTATTTAATACCCTTATTCTATGATTTTTTTCCAAATAAATTTGTAATAAATAACAGTGAAGATTGAATGATCACAAGTATGCATAAAAGGATTTTTTGACATGGTTCAATGAAATCTTCTTGAGAAGGATTTATAAGCTTTAATCCTGCCTATTCTATGTTATATTTGAGGAGAGTTTTGTATAACGTTATTGATTTGATAGCTTGCGATCTAACTTTGTCACGCAGGCATTTGATTTGGTCACGGAAGACCAAAGCGCCCGTGTTGTAATAGGCGGTATTTAAAGAGTTAATGTCAAGGTGAGCCCTGTACCATTCTGACATCTCAGGACAGGGGTTCCCGTGTGCCCAGCAAGGGCAATGAGGCTTCGTAGTAATCCCTTCTCAGTAGCACCTGCAGGTTACTTGTAGGAAGGAATTTCTGCGTGTCCTCAGCAGTGTTTTCCGAGGCAGACAAGCCCCGCTGGCGCTGGGGTGCCGCGGGCTCGGGTGGGTGTCGCTGTGGCGCACCCCCGCGCCGAGGCGGGCCGATGGTTCGCGCCGCTGATGCGGCTCTAACCCGCCTCATTAACGCCCTCGCAGGCTGCGGCGCGGCAGCGGCGGCGCGGGCGGCGGCCGGGGAGCCCGCGATGGGCAACGCGCACAGAAAGTCCCACGGCAAAGGCAAGGCGCAGCAGGACAGAGACGCGCACAAGCACAAGGACTCCGCTGAGAACGGAGGGAAAAAAGGCGCGTCAAAGAAGAAGTCAGAAAAGCATCTGTCGGACCATGAAGGCGAAGTTAATGGCTATTTATGCAGCGATGAGAAGAGTGAAAGCGCCGAAGCTGAGGAGATCTCCACACCGCATGGGGAAGGGTCTCAGTCGGCTGGTGGTGGCAGCTCCACTTCACTTCCTCCTGCTGCAGCAAAACTAAAAAGTGAAGGAAACGAGTTATTTAAGAGTGGACAGTTCGGAGAAGCTGTGCTCAAATACTCGGAAGCAATTGAATATGTCACTGGTCTTGGTGAGTGTAATACCTTATACTTTAAATCTAGAGCTGTTTAGATGATTTAAAGGAACTACAAGTGAATGAATTTAGTGTGCCCCTGGATTTTTGACAGGAGTTACCTTGCAGTAAATCTTGCATCATTTCAGTAGGCAGCAATTCACGTGACAGAAGATACAGAATGATGAGAGAAATAATGTTTTAATTTTCCAGGGGTAGAGCTGTTGACATTTATGTTTGAATACTTACATACTCCAGGTGACATGATAAAAGAAAACTCTTTACTGCTTTGCAGTGTCAGCAAACTGCATCACTGCAGTGCAGCTTTGAGTATGCAGATTTTTAATTCTTAAGTGTAAATTCAGTAATACTATTTGATTTTAATTGTAACTTCTTTTAGGAGAACAAAGTCCAGACGATTTAAGTATCTTGTACTCAAACAGAGCAGCATGTTACCTCAAAGAAGGGAACTGCAGTGACTGCATTCAGGATTGTAACAGGTAAATTGAAACCTCCCATGTAGAGCAACCACATTCCTGGTGATGATTAAACATTTTAACTGATATATTGCTAGTGCTGTTTGACTCAGAGCAGTGCTAATAAAGTCTGATTCCCTGTCTAAATGTCAGATACCTTTGTTATGTAAACAATCACATGAAAACTAGAAAACAAGTAACTTTTAACTTAATGTGTTACTGTGTACTGGCAGTTTTTAAGCTTATTATGTTCACAGAAATGCATAGTGGAATTCAAGTTATATCAAAGCAGGTTTACAATGGAATTCTACAGTAACAAATATGTAAAAGCTTTGTTAAGCCAGATGCTTGTCACTGTATTGGAAATTGCTTTTGAGCACATGTATGGTGTATATGTGTGTGTTCTCTGTTGGATTGTTGTTTTGGTGGGGAGGGGTTTAATATATACTTGACATAGTTATAAACAGTAATTAGAGCTGTTAAGGAATTGAGCTAAAATCCTTTCTGCTTATTGTGGCTTTTAAGGATACAGGAGTTAGAGAAGATCAGACACCTTCAGTAACTTCCAAACACTGTGTCCCACTAAATTAATAGTGTGTTTTTGATGTTTTGGGTTTTTTTAATATTTCCATAGATTGAGTTTATAATGCCGAGGCTTAAGGTGCTGAAAAGTATCTTAAGAGAATTAGAAATCATATTAATTAAACAGTGGGGTTTTTTTGTACAGCACAATTCTACTGTTAAAAAAAAGCCCTCCAAAACGAAAAATAAAATATGCATGTATCTTTATAGTACAAAACATTTAACTACTGTATGTATTCTATCTGACAGAATAAATTCTCTGAAAAAAATAACTCATTAGCAGTGTTTTGTTAAAATAGATGCAGAATCACAGACAGCTGGCCAAGATGGTGTATTTAAGACCCATCACATTTTTCTGTTCAGGAAGTTTGAAGTATGTAAAACTTTAGCTGGAATCAGTAATACAGAGGTTTTAGGTTTTGCATTCTTACCAATTAGAAGCTTTTTATTCTTACTATCTAATGATAGTGTCCTTAATGTTATGCATATTTCCTGGATGCACAAGAACTCATAGTGTTAGTGGTAGAAATAATACAGAGGTAGAAATAATTTAGAGACTGGGAAGCCGAACTGCCAGCCTGCAAACACATGCAATGTCAAATCTTCAGTAGGCAACACAATATAATAGATTACCTACAAATAGGTTACTTGATTTCAAAGTAAAAAATTATGTAGGGTTATAGTAGGAGAAACCTTCTCCCCATGAACACTGCTTGGCATTCCAGCAGGATGCCCAGAGATGTTGGGCAGAGATCCATCCCGTGGAGGGTTTTCAGGCCCAGCTGTGCCAAGCTGTGGGCAGCCTTGTCTGATCTTGGAGCTGAACATGTCTGTAGCAGAAAGCTGGGATATCTCAGTCTGAGTGGCTTTATGACTTCATGAAATCTAATTGTCTAGACTCATCTTAATTTCACTATTTCAAAAGTTTATCTCTCTTTAGCAAGAATCATTGAAAAGAAGGTGGTTCTTGAGAAATAAAGCCATTGACTGCTTCATACTGGTGGAAAAATGCATGGTGTTGGGAAGGAGTTCTAATTGTACAGTGTTGAGCTTGGTGTTGACCAGGCAGACAATCAAAAATGTAAACAGACAAAAGGGAAGCAAAAACTTAAAGTCCAAAGAAAAGTGCCTGTTCCAGTCATAGTCAGTGGGTTTTTAAAGTGCATACTTTCATTCAAGGAAGAAGAACTGAAAGCCATGTAAGCAAAAGCACCATATACTTGAAATCCTTGTGAATCTAGGCATGACTTAGGAAAAATAGCTTTTGCTCATAAGCAGGTGCCATTCCATTAATCATATAGTGGTGATGAGAGCAGTTTTCCAGATGGAAGACAGAGCTTTGAGTAGAGTAAGCTGTAGTGAAAGCACTAACAATTTCAAAAGTGAGTGTAATTTAGGGTGTTGATATGAACCGCTCAGACCCATTTTCCTTAGTTATTTTACTGTAAGTGCCGTCTGAAATCAGAGTTGCATATAGTTATGTATATCATGAAATAGTTCACTTAATTCAGTTACTCCTTTTCAATCCTGCATTTTTCTTTTTGTTTTCCCAGGGCTCTGGAGCTCCAGCCATTTTCCCTTAAGCCCCTTTTACGGCGAGCGATGGCAAACGAGTCAATGGAGCGCTACCGACAGGCGTACATTGATTACAAAACAGTGCTGCAGATAGACAGCAGCATCCAGGCAGCCAACGACAGTGCTAACAGGTAACTGCACACACACATTCTCTGATAACAGTCCAAAGAGAATGGAATTCAAATTTGTTGGTTTTACATGCTCCCTCTGTTCTGTACCCTTGGAGTTGTTGCACAGCTGGTTCATTATAGGTGGAGGATTGGCTGTTCTTTTAGTTGTTTTCCCATAATTTCAGTTTTCTTCTCCTAGCAGTGGGTTCCTTTCCTGTTTTTCAAAAATGTGATATTTTCATATTTTAAGGCTGGGTTTTTTAGTAGTGCTTCTACTTTTTCTCTTTCCTAACTTCTATTCTATACTATATAAAGTAATTCTTAAGGTCCGTGCCATTTCTCTGACATCCTCTTTCCTTTACATATTAACAGTGTTTCTGTGGCACCTGGAGATTTATGTTAAGTGTGAATCCTTCTGTATGCTGCAGTTGTGGAAATACTGAAGTAGCCTGAAACAGTGGTTGGCTACAAAGCTTAGAGGTGTAAAAAATATAATTGAAGATTATTTTCAAGTATTAATACTTTCAACATTAATTCTTTCTGCTAAGAGAGACTTTTGAATTTCTCTAATTATACTTTAATACTATAAAGTTGAAAACAGAACAGCCATTAATCACTGAGCAGAAACCCACATGCATGTGACTTTTACAGTGGAATCTAGTGTGGTTTTTTTCCCTAAGGCAAGACCATGAACACTTTCACTGTTTTTAAAAAGTCCATAATATCTTTCTTTAAATTCTCTTTATTTGGCCAGAGGAAATTGTGGCACTTTATAATCTCTTAGAAGTCCTATTTTTTTTGATACCACAAAAATTTTTAGTGATCTTCTGTATCTGTGGTGATAATAGAGCACTTGGATTGGTGGAATAGCTGCTTATCCTGCTGCCTATGTAATTATTACACTTTTAAAAATCTTGTTGGCTTATTTTATCTGCAGATACTCTTTTCATATTTCTCCTTGACTTGGAACTTGCTTAGTAATAAGCTTATTTCCCTTTTCTCCTTAACACTCTTCCTTTTCTCCTCTCTAGGCCTTCCTTATGTTTTTAGCTTCACTGCTCATTACTCTTTTCCTCCCTGGCAACCCATCACCTTATTTCAGCTGCTTGTTCCTTCTTCTCTTCTGCTGGTAATTCATTTTTGCTTGCAAATTATTAGTTCCTAAACCATAGACCTCCTGCATAATTGAACTTTAACTATATTAAAAAAAAAAAATTATAATTTGAAACTTCAACTGAGACTGTACTAAAGCTTTCATTTTCATTTCCAAAGTAAGAGACCTTTCTAAATATGAATTTTAAAAAAACACTTCTGTCTTTTAACTTAAAGAAACTACCCCAAATGTAATATTTTTGGGGCTTTTTTTTAGTATTAGGAAGATCAGGACTTAACAACCTTATTTTATTGGAGGAGTTCTTGGTTTTTAATTTTCTGTGGGAAATTGTATAGCAATGCTTTAGGATGCTGACAGGAAAAATTTGTCATCCTACTTGTGTCTGAGGGTGGGTTTGACAAACCACATTGGAGCTTGTCTCTCTGTGCTTGCATAGCTAAGCAGACTTTTCAAAAACCTTAGAAGCAATTGCATATTTTTAATACTGACATAAAATACAAGATTTTTAATATCAAAGCTTTGTCTGATAATTTTGCAATCAAAAGGAAATAATTGAGTTTGGGTGCATAATGGAAACAAGTATAAATAGTTATTTCACTGTTTATTATGTTGGTTAGATGACGTTAAATTCTGTCTTTTATTGATTCCTGAGGTGATCTTTTTAGATAAACTGGAAGGGCTGGCTCATTTAATGGTGTGTGCCAAATAACTGGAAATTGCATTTCAAGCATGCTTTTAATTAGTGGCATTTTCCTAGCATTGTGAACATCAGTGGATTTTCTACTTCATGTATTTTGATTTCCTCTTGAGGGTTTCATGATGTACTTTTCTCTGTTAGAAATACAGAAGCTCTAATGTGTGGGAATACGTTTTTGCATTTCCTCTTACTAAACTGAAACTTCATTCCAATTGTCTCAATTCCTTTAGTATCAGTGAGCAAATTGCCTGAAATAGCTCAGAAGCTGTTTTTGCAAAGTCCCATATGAGTACTGTACTGCAGAAAGAAACTAGTGATCAGCTCCAGAACTGCAGGATTGTTGGGGTGTTGGTGGTGGGAAATGAATGTGTTTGTCCCAGCTTTTTCATGTGACACCTGTGCTTTTTTAAGCTAATCATGGCACACAAGTATGCATTTTTGCAAAAGACTCTGCTTACATTATGATATTACAAGAAGTCAGTTAATCATCAAATACTGCAGGGTTCTTTCTGTGGGTTTTGATGAATTAGAGTTTTTTCCTGCAACTTTTTAAGCCCATTATGATAAATGAAAAAACAAATAGGAATTCAATATGACTCTGCCTGTGGAATTACTCCATTAATTTCTATGGGAAATATCTGAAGAATTAATTGATATGTTAATATGAAGTGTACTGTTTTGTTGCCTAAAATAAACAACCTGAGTAAATCTTTGGGTTGTTCAATTTGTGATGGTGTGCCACATTTTTTCTTAGCAGTTGAATTCAGGCTATCATTAAAATACTGAGGTTTTATTGAAATAGAGCAAAGCAGTATTTGGACAAGCCACATTGTTGGTATGTCCTCTGAGATACTTAGGAATGGTACAGGCAGAGGAGAGCCCCTACAAAAGCATATGCAGTTTACACACATTAAAATAGTGGTTTTGATCACTTAGAAAACAAATAAAGCAACTAAATTATACTATGGAATGTGGTATTCTGTGAATGAAGAAATTTACTTTCAAGTCCAAAACCTCATGGTTTTTATGCAGCATGGTGTAAGACATAAACTCACTCATTATATAGCTCTACAAACAGACTTTTTAATCTGTATAATTCTTTAAAATATTTTGGTAATTTCTGTTCTACGTAAAGGAGTTTGGAACTGGGGCTACTTTTTGTTTTCGTGTTTTGATAAGACCACAATGGGGAAAGAATATGGTCTTGAGTGCTCTGATTCTATTGCCAAAGTATTAGACTTGACACTTTTTTTTTAAATAGCTGTTATTCAAATACCTTAAAAGAACAAAAGTAAATAAGAAAACTCCATTGGATAATTTATGTTCATTCTATGTTGTTCTTCATGTCACTTTCAAGGTTCTTAGTTTTGTTTTTGGATGTGTGTTCATGTAGTCTGTTTTTCACACTGTGTAAGATGGAAGTGCATCTGATTAAAAAAATTTAGTTTTATTTCCTGTAGTATCTGTGTGACTTGCTTTGCTACTCAATTCAGATTTTTCCTTTCTTAAATTATGAATTAGACTTTTTACCAGGTGAACTTGATTCTTAAGCCCATTTTGAGACTAGGAGATGTTTATCACACTGTTATTCTCATAATTCTCAAATTTCTACATAATTCTACAAAATTTCTAATAGAACCATGAAATCTTAAATGGTTTCACTTACTCTGTCAACTTATGTCTTTCTCCAAAAGAGAAAAAGGCAATGGGAAGCTCCCACTTAAATAGTTTTGGATTGAACCACACATATGTGGAAATAATTGACATATATATATGTGTGTGTGTTGGTTTAAGGCAGACTAACTATAGAATGCAACTCAATGCAGACTACTTTGTGACCCACATTGCTTTTTTTAGACAGTTGTTGTGGAAGAGGTTTCATTTGACATTTGTAAATTTAAGTATCACATTTTGCCTGAAAATATTGTAATCTCACTTACTACAAGTAACACCTATGAACAGCTGAGAATAGTAACCAAAATTAATACATAGATTTTTTTTTTGGTATTTCATTGCTTGATGTAGTAGGCAGCATTTAGAGCTTAGTTACAGAATCAGTCATTGATTAAATATTTACAGATCATGCTGAAGTCAGCTTGTATTCTAAATGCTTCCATAATACTCTAAAGTGGAAAAAGTCTAAATCTTAAATGGATGTGATACTGTTGACTGCTGTGATAATATTTTTCAAATTAGCCTGAAGGATAATTGTTCAAGTTTGTTTTTTTTTTTTTTAATTGGAACATTGCAGTATTAAACTGGTTGTAAGTTATTAAAGTGCGAGTTAAATACATGAAAAGTCATGTTGGTGGGGCTGTTCTTTTTCAGAATAACAAAGACTTTAATAGATCAAGATGGTCCCAGTTGGAGGGAGAAGCTGCCACCAATTCCAGTTGTTCCAGCTGCTGCTCAGCTACACAGGTGGGATGGAGGAAGCCTCACTTCAGAGAATAAACCAAGTACCACAGACATCAACAGAGAAGAAGAATTGCAGATGAATTGTATGTATAGCTGATGCAAATACACATTCAGAAAATAAACCTAATTACAAAATGGAATATGTTTTAACACACATTCAGAAAATAAACCTAATTACAAAATGGAATATGTTTTAACAATGTCAAAGAAACTGCTTTAGAAAACACTCATTAAGAGACCTTTGTGAAAACCCAAAGTAAATTACTGTCATTTACATGATGGAGTTCAATGTGCTTTGTGGAGCAGTTATGGTAATTTTTTTAAACCAAGTGATGTCATTTGCAGCATGCAATTTAGTTATATAAAGTTAAGTTATATAAAATCTGCAGTAATACTCATTAGCAAAATATCAGGATCACCAAAGCCCAACTGCTGGCCCTGCCCAGGACACCCTAAGAGTCACACCATGAGCCTGAGAGCATTGTCCAAACCCTTCTTGAACTCTGTCAGCCTTGGTGCTGTGACCACTTCCCTGGGGAGCTGTCCCAGTGCCCAACCACCTTCTGGGGGAGGAACCGTTTTGTGATATCCATCCTAAACCTCCCCTAGCTCTGCTTCCCATGCCCATGTCACTGGTCATGAGAGTGAAGAGATCAGTGCCTGCCCCTCTGCTTCCCCTCGTGGGGATGTTGAAGGCCTCAGTGAGGTTTCCTCTCAGTTTCCTCCAGGCTGAACAGAGCAAGTGACCTCAGCCACTCCTCATACAGCTTCCCCACTGACCCTTCACCATGCTTTTCTTTGGATGCTCTCTGATGGATCTTTCTTACCTTGTGGTGCCCAAAACTGCCCCCAGCACTCAAGGTGAGGCTGCCCCAGTGCAGAGCAGAGCAGGACAATCCCCTCCCACGCCCTGCTGGGAATGCTGTGCCTGATGGCCCTTAGGACACGAGCATCAGGGGTTTCCCTGACATCATAACACTGTTATGAAACAGTTTTCCCCCAGAAAGAAACACCCCCCAAACAAACACCCAACTTTGGCAGAAGATCAGGAGACACCTGTCAAAGATGTTCTGGACTTGTCCATATGTAATCACTGAGTGCTGAACTCTGGGAACCTTAACTTCCTTCCTGACTTTTTTTCCCCTGTCATTGCAGTTTCCATTTTTCTCCTTCAGTAAATAAGGTGAAGGAAGCTCTCTGATTCAGTTGTTACTGACATTAAACACTCCCTTTGCAAAGACTTTAACCCTGTGATTCCTAATTCAAGTATTAATTGGTTTCCCTTTGAGTTTATTTCAGTATAAAGTAGTACTGAAGATATTCTCCCCTCGATTAACAGCAGGGGTGACTGCAGTTTGTAACTGGGCTGTTGGCCAAGTATGTACCAGTGATGGGTTATGGGTCTATAATGCATTACTGCAGTACTGAGTGTCCTCCAAGTGCTTGGCAGCTTTTTGATACAAAACATGTTTATTTCAAATAGTGCAGGCTTTGGTTTTAGAAATGTTAAACAATGATTGTGTAACTGTTTTCTTCACTGAAGGCTGACTCTTAAGATTCTGGTTGCCTTCTCAGGCCTCTGCTGCATCAGTGAGACCTGACAGTGATAGCTGGTACTGAAAGGCTGCCAACAATAATGTTCAGTCAGTAGTTAATCCTTACCATTGGCTGACAGTGTTTTGCAACAACTGTATGTTTTTCTTTGTGTCTTACTACTTGAGTTATAATTTTGCCCAACTCACATGTAGTTTTCTGGCATGGGAGACAGCCATGTTTTTATAAAAGAACTCAGTGAGTTCAGTTATAGGTTTAAATTGTTGGTTATATACAGTGTTGAAAACCTGAAGCTTGGCAGGAGGCTCATATTCATTAGCACGGTGCCAAAAGTGGATTGTTTTATTATGATTTACTTAGAGCTATGTTGATAATTACTGTTTGCTCACAACAGTCATGAAGCTGCAGCTGGGATCAGTTTTTCACTGCAAACACATCTAAAAACTGTAGCCTAACCCAAAAGCATCTGCAGCAAATGATGTGGAATTAAGAAGGAAAGGCAGTTAACACAGTAACTACACTAAGAAGTCTAGTTAGGTGTTTCAAGGTTCCTCACTGCATATTTTAGAAATAGTTCTTAACAGAGTATTGTCACTGTCAGTTTAGCATAATAACTGTGGCATGATTGCAAAGACAATATTAGATCAAATTATGGCCACCTTGGTGTGATGGTGGAGATCTGGAAGGCCTTAATCCTGCTGATTAAGTCTCCAGCAGTGTGAGTAAAAGCAGGGTCTCAGTGTTCACAGGTGGGCCCTCTCTGCACATAGAAACTGGGAAAGCTTGGAGCTGTCTGTTGCATTCCCATTATTTTCAGCAGAGAAGTAACACTGGTGGATGGGAAGTGTTTGTTGAGGCAAATGTGGGTCTGGCTGAGCCTTGGTGGGAGCAGCAGGGGAGGCTGGGGACAGGAATGGCCGAGTGCAGAGGGACAGACTGGGGCAGAGTGACAGACAGAGTGACAGTGCAGGGAGTCCGCTGCCAGGCGCTAATCCTCAGTCTGCACAGATCATTCAGCCACCCATGACAAACTGACCTGGTGTGACACTGTGATCCTTCCCTGCTCTAGGTGAGGAAGCTGCGGAGAAGTTCAAGAGGTTGAAAAATGAAGGGAATGACTTTGTAAAAATGGGGGAATACGAAGAAGCTGCAAATAAATACAGTGAGTGCATGAAGTTAAATACTGAGGAATGTACTGTCTACACTAACAGGTAAGGATCCAAAGGCTAATGCTGCTTTGTGGGATAGCAGTAGTTACATTCTCTCATTTAAAATAGAGATTTTGCATCTGTTCACTCATTTTTGTGAAAAAGGGATTTTTTTCCCTACTTGGTAAGTGTTTATAATAACAAAATGGATTTCTTGTAAAAACATTTTTCAAGGGGAGCTAGTATTAATGTCATATCTTATATATAAGATATATATCATGTATGATATATATCTTAAAATCTTATATATAAATAAAGTAAGCAATAGTAGAAGTTATAATTAGCATAGCATTTTGCAGTGGTTTTGAGATTTTTTTAAGAATACTGGTATGATTTGAGTTAAAAACTTAACATGAAGTAGCAGTATCTCAGATATGAAGAGTAATAATTCAGAGAAAATGTACATTCTGAGAAAATAAGAGTAAGAACACAGTCATACATCAGCATTATTTTAAAGGTTGACCTAATTCAGCAGTACAATTCTTTATGCTGTAATCTTATCAGCTCCTACAAACTTAAGAAGGATTTGATTAGACCAGTACTTGAATAGGATAGTTCCAAGTAATAATTAGGTGCAGAGAGCAGTGTTGTTAATTTAATCCAGAGCACTCTTTTACCCAGAATGGCTGTATAAAATCTCTATTACATTTACCACTGTACTATCATATTGTACTAATGTAGGCTCTGCTTTTAAAATATTTACATACCTATTTAACTTTAAGCATTAGTCATACTTGCTTTTTTTTTCAGGAATTAGCCTTCTCTAAATCCATCCAGTGATGTTCTTGATAGTTAATGGTACTTCAAACAATTCAGTCTCCATGTGAATTTTTTAAAGTATTTTAATTAACATTTGTGAGTCAGAAGATGTTGGCACTACAGCACTGTAAAATTACTTACATTGCAGTGTATTCTGTTTTTCTGTGTTAGAGCTCTCTGTTACTTGAAGCTGTATAAATATGAAGAGGCTAAGCAGGATTGTGATCATGTTCTTCAGATAGAAGATTCTAATATTAAAGCTTTTTATAGAAGAGCACTAGCACACAAAGGATTACAGGTGAGGAAAAAGAACATGCCTGGTATTCTTAAGCACTTCTAAACTTGCTTATCCCCTTCAAAGGCAGTGAGGTAGTTGCTGTCAATGGGTGAGTACAAACAAAGTACTCAGTGTGATGATTTATTACTTTGTAGAGCATAAGGCATACATAGAACATTACATAAATATTTTTGCTACATCAAAACCTGTATGTTGATGTAATAATTTGGGAAAATACAAGAATATTGCGATAAATAAGGTTTGACTGGAGATTGGTTAAGCGAGTTCCAAATCTGTTCTAATGTTCTAGTATTCTCCTTCTGGGTATCCCAGTTTCTTTTATCTGTCAAAGCATTTACTGTAACTTTGCTAATGACAAATGGATTCTCTCCAAGTTTATCTTCATCTGCCCAAACCAAAATCTCAAGCTGTCTTGGCATCTGCTCTTGTTTAAGTGTCATATTTAACCAGGGTTTTAATTATCATCATTTTCTCTTTCTTCCCCCAGTGCATTACAAGCCTTTGTCAGTTCTGTACTTTGTCACTGTGGCAGTGGCAGTACTCAGCCTTTCCCTTCCCATCTGCATGGTGGTGGTGATGTTTCCACAGTGCTCATCTTACATACAGTGTTTAGAGTATCCTTTTACCTTCTTCATAAATGCATCTTCATAAATGCAGACACACTGATCACATCCATTCCAAATGTGACTTCAAATCTCATGTTCCATCACTGAACTGTTGTTCTGTTTGTCCCTCCCTCTGGTGGTTCCCCATCTTCAGTGATGTTAAGTCAGCCTTAGCACTCCACAGTTCTCCCACAGCAATCCTTGCTCTGCCCATCAGCTCTCACTTGGCATTGAATTATCAGCTTCTTGATTTTGTAGGCTCGTGATGGCAGCTCTCATCACCTGCTTTGTATTAAATTTACAAGTGTCTTTAGACAAGTGTCTGAAGTGCTGTCTTCCATATTGCAGGAGTGGACTGGAGGTCCACCAAATTTCATCATTCTCCCTCAAATGGATGGACACTTACTCAGACCTCCATTGTGTTTGATGCCATAACAAAAAATTACTGGATGGTGTCTCAGCTTACAAGGCACCTGAGAACCTGTTTGTGCTTAGCAGCATACCAGTCTGTTCTCATCCCATGTTATAATTCCAAATGCAGGTCCTAGGAATGTGATACATTTGTTCCTCTGTTGCAGTAGCTCTAAAATTTTTGAAGTGTGCTAAGTCCCAATTTGTAATGTTTTTTCTGTAACTGTGCTAAGCTACCTGGTATTAATAATCTCTAACCTTATATTGTTAAACTTGATAAAACATCAGTATAATAAATGTGATTCTGCCAGACAGTAAAAAAGGGTATTACACACCTGTGAAGAAGGCTGAGAATTTATTTTTGCATATCCTAGAAAAAAAGTGCTATTTTTGTATTACTGAAAACAACTTGAAACATAGTGTTGATGAACTCCTTCAGAACAGCCTGAGCTGGGGACTCCCAAAATGTTTTGTTGTGGCCAGATTTAATGCCTTCATTACTGCTAATTTCAGGGATGAAAGTGATAGGTAAAATCAGATAAAATGACAAAAATTATCTGAGGCCGAAAAATTATTCTGTAATGAATAATTGTATGAGCTAAAGGCATGTAGTTTGGCAAAGATCTAACTAAGGTGGGAAGTGTTATTTGTAAGTAATTAGACACACATTCAACTAAAAAACTGCAGTGGAATTTAATGTAGTAAATGAGGGGTTTTTTTACAGATTTACCAGGATGTAGTTAAGGGAAGATCAGGAAAAAACATCAGTGAGATATGTTAGGCCTGTGACACAGGACACAGGACCCCAAACAGCATCTCCTGCAGCTGGTAGTTCACCCTCTTGCTTTGGGTACAGTCATCTTGTGTGATTTTGTTGGACAGTCATCAGGCTGCAGTTTTAAATTCGGTAGAGTTGGTTGCTGACCCTTGTTACTGTTTCCAGAAGTCTGTTCCAGAATCTCTTTTCTCTGTAGTTGTGAATCCTCACACCTGTAATTCAGATGATTTAGTTTAATTAATAGCGGATTTCTCATGAAAGCAACCTGGCCCCTCTGTGCATTCCTTTGTTAGGGGTACATAATTCTCATTCTCTGTGTTCCTTCATGACCTGGCAGGCTTCAGTTCCCTGCTGGTGTTCTGCAGCCCCTCTGCACCGTGAATACTGGCCACCAGTGTGGAACAGAATGTGGGAAGGAGTTAGAGTGACTTGGACACTGGCTCCTCTGTTACAGCTGAGGTGCTGAGGAACTACCTCAGGTGCTGCATGAGGATTTTTTTTCCATAATACAAATTATTTAATAGTAACCTCATGATGCTGCTTGGGAACAGAAGCAATACTAGACCAAACAGAAGAAATACTAGACCACTCACACAAGAAATTATGTTGGTGTTTTACTGTCTGCATGGTCTTTTACTGTTTACTGCTTCATTTCATCTTTGTTTTGATACTCCAGTCCTTGAGATGTCTTGATTTTCCTATGTGATAATTCCAGTCTTCCTCAATTGATGCTATTAACTTCATGACTTTAGAAAATTTAGTTTAAAAATAGTAATTATACATTAAAAAAATGGGAAATAAAGTCATGAAACAAACCACAAGACTGACTATTGAAAAACTGTGTCCTAATGCCACTCTGTCACTGTGTTTGTCCTAATCTTGTTTAGCCCAGAGGTTGTAACATAATCCCAGTTTTCTCAAGTATTAGCAAAATTTCACTGTAAGACATGGTCTGTTGGATTGAAGCCCAGGAAGATTACATATATCTTTAATCAAAGCTCAGTTTAACTCTCTTATTGGCAAAGAAAGTATGCAGACTTACTGGACTCACATTATATTAATTGTGAAGCAGTGTTACACTGTAAGTAATTATGCTTAAAAGCAGCAAACTTCAATAATTTGCTCTCTGACACAGGGAATAGATTTCTGAGAATAAATTATTTCATATTACATATTTATTGGAAATAGTTACAGCGTATTAACTCATTCTCATTTCATTTTTTCCTCTCCGAAGAAATCACACTATCAGTATTTAGATTATTTTTGTCTACTTAGTGTCCAGATCCCAGTATTTTTACCTTTCTTACTTGTAAAGGACAGTGTGGTACTTCAGATTTATTTTTCTAGTGATGTGCTTATGACAAAAATATTCTCTTGTACTTACAGAATTATCAAGCCAGTGCTGATGATTTCAACAAGGTACTTGTAATAGATCCAAATGTTGTTGAAGCACAAAAGGAATTGGAGGAGGTAACCCAGCTGCTTCACCTTGACAGCAGTGCTGAGGATGGCAGTCAGCAAGCCCACGGGAAGAAGATAACCATACAAGAGGTGGTGTACCTGTTCACTTCTTAAAAGCAAACACAACAGAAGCTGCACATTTCAAGAGATACTAAAGCTTTTGTTTGCCCATCTTGAATCTCTATCTTTGTGGGGATGGTGTTGTATTTTTCAAATCATTTTGAGGGCATATTGGAGGGTTTTTACATATGATAAAGCTTGGACTGCTCACAAGTTTATTCAGCACTACAACAGGAAGGAAAATAGTCCATTTCAATGGCACGAAACTCGAGGGTATGCTCCTTGTAAACAAAAGCTGCTTAGGCTTTGAAATATGTTTTACAGAGTGCAGCTATGAACTAGCAGTTTCGTTTTTGGGTTCTGTGCCCCTTGGGCAGCCCCTGGGGCTTGCTGGCAGAGGTCTGTGGTCAGCAGATGTGCTGGCTGCTCCTGTGCTGGTCCTGAAGTTACGGGTCTGAAAAATGAAATCCTACCCTAAAGAGCAAGAGTAAAACATCTGTAGGATCTTACAAAAGAAACACAGGGTGTAATGTTATGTACAAGATCAAAATGTTAGCTTTGCACAGTTCTGGGTCGAATTAGGTGATGAAAGGATTTTCTCAGTCATCTGATATTTTTGGATTGTAGCTTTGCTGATCGTTAAAGAATTCTTTTCCCCTTTTTCATTTAAAAATGTACAGTTAAAATACATAGTTACCAGTCTGAACAGTGGTATTGTAATTTGATAATGTAATTTCAGAATCTGGTCTAATGGAAACTGCATTTATTAATATAGGGGGGAAAAATGATCTTGAAATACTTCAGGTTGTCACGAGCTCATGGGATTTTATGTAACAGGCATAATCTGGTATAGTGTTAGTTAAGCTCTGAGTTGTGACAAACAACAGGACCTGGAAAGTGTTTAGAGGCAGTTTGGGAAGTGACCACATAATTCAGAGACCAGCTAACTACATTGCTGGTACTGGTAATTTTTCTAGGGGTCATGCAGGAAGCATTTATGTTTGCTGGCATCATTACAACTGCCCATGTGGAGAGGCTCCCCTCTTTCACCTGCTGTAGTACAAGGTAGTCTTTTTCCATGAAGACAGACTGCAAAGAAAAACAAAATTAGAAAAATAATTTATCATCATTATTCTTTGTTAATCGAGCTATAATTATATAAAAGAGAGTCAAGGTTCTCCCTTGATTCTAAGGATTGTTGAAAAATGGAACAAAATGTCTATAAGCCAAATGCAGAATTTTCCAAAAATTACTAATCCCCTGTTCTATGCGATGTATTATCTTCAGGTTTTTCAAAATACTTGGCATTGACAGGCTCTGTTCAGTAAGTTTTAGTCAGGTTATAATAATTTCACAACTCTTGATGGCTTGAAGTAGATTTTAGCAAATGTAGTTGGCCTCATAGTTGATTTTTAGTTACTGATTCATGAAACTTGATGGAGGGTGCAGCCTCAGAAGTGAAGTGGATAGTGAGGCAGGTTATCCATGCTGAGCTTTCTCTTTCCAAAGCAAGCCTGCAAACAGCAGCCTGGTGCAGCTGCCATGTGCCTGTGGCGCCGTGGAGGCACAGCAGAGGAATGGAGCGTGGGTGCCTGCTGCCTTGACTCCAGCTGTCCCTGACTTCTGGAGCTTCACATTAATACTTGTGCGGAGTCCTCCTTTCTCCTGGTGCTCTCCAGGGGTGTTTCCACAGTGCAGTGCCAAGCAGTGAAAAGGAGGGGTAAAAAATACACTTTGCACTGTGAGCCTTTAAAAGTGAATTAGAGAGCTCCTGTTCTGGGGACAGCAGGACAAGGAAGAAGGTGGGTGCCTTTCTTTGATGAAGAGCAGAGTGCCAGCTTTAATCCAGTGATGGATAAATGCAGTTTGTGAAGCTTCAGGTTATCTCTGTGTCCACATGGAGTGATCTGTTGCCACTTTGTTTGTGCAGGTGAGTGACCCTGCTGAGCGGGGAGAGGGGCCCTTGGCTGCAGCAGAAGGTGCTGAGGAGGCCGAGCCCAAGGCAGTGCCCAGGAGATCCTCGCAGAAACTCCGCGTTTCAGAGCCACCCAACGCCTACGACTTCGGTCAGATCATCAATGCACTGAACGCCAGCAAGGACAAAGCTGCTTGTGCAGATCTCCTAACAACTACTGATCCAAAAACACTGCCAGTGCTGCTAAGTAACAAACTTGAAGGAGAAATCCTTCTGCTTTTTATCCAGTCATTGGAACATTACATAGCTGGAAAAGATCCTGGCCTTGCATATCAGCACCTGTTCTACTTGAGCAAAGCCAAAAGATTTAAGGTAAGAACCTACACTGATTGAATGGGTACTTAAATTGCACAGAAATCTAAAGGAAATTTTAATATCTTAAAAGGAGAAACACTGACTTATGTGTCTCTGTCAGATATTATGATTTTCACTTAACCTGTGCTGATTATAAAATAATTTGTTGCGGGTTTTTTTCAGGTGGTGCTGGCTCTTCTCAGCAAAAATGAAAAAGAAGAGGTACAGCATCTGTTTGACTTACTTACAGAAAGCCAGAGTGATCAGTACTCACTGGAAGATCTTGAGAGCCTTAAAAAGGTTTATGAACTTTAAGAAGTTAAAGTTTATTGGCTGCATGCATATAGTTCATGTTAGAAGATGAATGAATGAACTCTGCGGACTTGCCTGGGTTCAAGTGGGTCTTTACCTGGACTGCTGGAATTCTATTTTGTTTTGACAGCATATGCACATTTAAAACTTGCTGCTCTTTTCTTCTGGTAGTTGTATACATCTCTAGAATTTAATGCCCATCTGTGTTCAGTAACAGAGTTCATTTCATTTGGCATACTGATTTTATTTAGACTCAGAAAAATATATTTTACCTTCTATATGCAATGGGAAATACCTTGATGGTACAGTAGGTAAATACACTTTTAGTCATCACTTGTTACATCATTTTGTGAGTTCTGTGTTGTGATAAAAGAAGTGTCTTCAAGATAAATGGGTCAGTTAGCAGTAACTTTGCTAAAATGAGTTTACAAGAAGTATTAACATTTTTCAGAAAACTCCTGTGGACCACCTATTTGTTCACTATTCCTGGTCTGTACAAAACAGATTTAAATATTTTGGCTCATAACATCTTAACAAAAAAGATGAATGAATTATTGATTAGCTTGTCATGGAAACAATTATTAAATGGATGGGTATGTTTTTAACAAGTGAGTAATTTTTACAGAGAACTCTTTTCCTCTGTGTTCAGGAGGATGGCTGGTTTGCTGACTTCTTTTGGGCAGTGACAGAAGAACAGGTAGCTGCACTGCACAATAGAAATATTGAACTCTGAGTTTTGTATTCAGATTATTTAAAATACCAGCTATTTCTGTTTACAGATATATTTATAAAACTACAACAATTTTTTGGACCAGTATAATTATTTTTAATTTCAGGCATTACTTATGTTTTATATTTGATTCTGACAAAGTTCCTTCAAAGGTGAAGCTTTTCAATTTTTCAGATACCCTGATGCCTTCTTTGCACAGATGATATAAATGTATATCAAACTCACTTAGCACTGCAGAAATATCATTAAGAATGTTGTTCTAATGAAAATTTTTCTCAGGTGTATACTAATTAATAAAGTTATTTTCTTGAGAAATACAATTATGGCTTCTTTTCTGGTTCAGTACACTTTAGGCTTACAATTCTCACATGTGGATTATGAGTTTCAGCTTGGGGTGCCAAGAATGAGGCTTGTACTTCCTAAAGCATCATCAGTGCAACTGATGCTTAGCAATGAACAGGTTTCACTTTATTTGTGTGTGATCTCCTCAGGTTACGGCAGACCCTGAACTTTGGCTGTTAGGATGTAAAGCAGCAGCATTGCCTGCAGTCATTTTGGTGATGGTCCTGCCTCCTTCAGGTTTCATTATGAGGTTGGTAATTTTTTAGACAGCATTTGGGAGGGCCTGAACAATTTCTCAAGACACAGAAGTTAGTAAAAACCTGAATCAAACACATGTAAGGGACTGTGCTGCTGATTGGGCCTGAACAGCTCAAAACAAGGACACCAGTCTTCAAAATTGAAGGGGCACTGGAGGGCATTTTGGGGGCAGGGGCTGCAGAATGGAATTATCTTTAGGTGTGGATTTCACCATGTGTTTGACAGGTAAGGGCTGCCAAGTCATTCTCTTGCCTTAGTCTGGGAAACTGTGGGAGAAATCTCTGCAGCCCCCAGGAGCTGCAGCTGAAGAGCAAAGGTGGGGTGACCTGGCACAGACCATGTCCTTGGCCAGTGAGGCCGAGGGGCCTCTGCACAGAGGCTGCTGCAGCTTCCCAGGTGTGGCACCAGAGCAGCTGCAGGCCAAAGGCAGCTCCTTGCTCCTTGCTCACCTGCTGCAAAATCTGTTTTGTGTCCCATCTGTGTAATGACCAGTAGGAGAAGCCACAGAGCTGAATTACTGCTGGGCTGGGAGCTCCTCTCTTCCTGGACAGTCCCTATCTCCTGATCTAATTATCCCCTATTTTTGAACACTCCCATATTTTAAGTCTTGTTTCTGCTCTGTGCTTGTCCTTTATTTATGCTGCTTTTTGTTTCCTCTGCCCTCCATAATCTCTTCTGCAGCTTTGGCTGCTCTGCCAGGCCAAGGTGGGACTGCAGCTGCCACCTCAGCACTGCAGTGTGGACACAGCACCTAAAAACAACTGAGTGGGCAAAAGGGGGGAGCAAGAGCACCCCAAGTGTCTTACCAGGCTTTGTGGCAGGGAGACCCCCATCCCAGCATGGTGTTATGAGCTTGGCTTGTCACTCACCCCCTCAGTGTCAACTTCCACCTCTGTAAAAACAACCAAACCCAAGAGCAGGACAAAAGCAGGTGATGGGAGCAGGGGCGTGAATGTGACCCTGAGTGGCAATAGCGCAGCCAGTCACAAGCACAGAGGATGTGTCCCCCAGGCCTGCACACACCCAGCTGCTCCTGGACACAGATCTCTGGTTTCCACACAAGAGATGACAGCAAGATTCTTTCTGTAGCCACTGAAAATGCAGTCAGTGGCCAGGGAACAGCCAAGGAATGGGGTGGGTCACAACTGTTGTTATTTTAATCCTTTCAAAGTATTTTTGATGTTTTTGAGAAGCCAGCTCCAGGCTGGCAGTTGCTGCCAGGGCTGAGTGTCAGCATGGCAGGGTTGGACCACAGGGCCACCACTTCCCACTCTCCCTGCCCAGAGGTGCAGGCGGTGGTGAGAGCTCAGTTACTGGCAAACCACACTCTGCCCTTATGTGGGATGTATTTCCACTCATCAGGCCCTGCCCTGTTTTACATAATCCAGTTGCACAAATAAAGGGCTACTCCTGTGACTGCCAGGCCTTTCAGAAGAGTTAGACTTGTTCGTTACAATAAACAACATAACACCATTTTGAACAGCAGGGAACAAAGCTTCTTCCGTGCTGTAATGAACATTTATGACCCAGGTCAGTGTAACTCTGCTCAGTGCCTGTGAGCTGCAGCTCCCCAAGGGACAAAGGGTGGGCAGCTGGAGCAGGGACAGCCCGGCTGGCTGGGGGGGATGAATTATCACCAACCGAGTCCTGGTTCCTTCCCTGGGCCCTCCCTGAGGACATGTAACACACTGCAGTGCAGATGAAGCCTCCAGCTGTGGCAGTGCCATTTCCTTACAACCCTGTGCCACTTCTGTGGCAGTGCCATTTCCTTGCAAGCCTGTGCCACTTCTGTGGCAGTGCCATTTCCTTACAAGCCTGTGCCACTTCTCGGCTGCTCCTTGCGAAATGCCACCCGCATAAACACAGTCAGCAACATGGGAGTGGTTTTCCTTGTAAGCAAGAGGGATTATAAGGGGATAAAGTGCACAGAATGCTGTGCTTGAGAATGCAGCCTGTGAGCAAAGGGAAGCTCGAGCCCACACAGCCCCAGCAGCACAGCTCTGGTGCCTGAACACAAGCACTCCAGTTGAGGCTGTTGGGAATTTTAATGTCCTTATTGTTGAGATGGAATGAACAATGAAGCCAGCTTTCGTAAAGCCAGCTCACCAGGACCTGGTGCAAGGAGAGCTGTACCTGGCAGCTTGCTGGGTTTGCTCCCCCAAATGCTTCCTGCTGTCCCTGTGTGCAGGCAGGTGCTGAGAGTCACCCCTGGCAGCCACTCAGTGACCCGGCTGGCACAGAGCGAGGGGCCAGAGCAGATTCCTCCCCAGAGCCTCTGCCAGGCCCTGGGGCTGTGCTCAGCACAAAGCTCAGTGTCAGCCCTAAGGCTGTGCATCCATCTCCTTTTCCCCCAGACCAGCTTTGATTACCAAGTACCTCACAGCCACTTTTCTCTCTCTCTCCCACCCTTTGAGACCAAAGGCAACAAAATCCTTGTCACCAGTCTGGGATTGTGCTTCTCACCACGACTGGGCCTGGGGGTTTTTCAGTCCTCGCGGGAAATCCATTTTGCTCCCACAGCAACACCAGACCATTCCCTCTGGGAAGATCCATGTTTGGGACTGGCAGGAGTGGTCAAGGTGGTAACTGTGCTCCTCAGATCTTTGTCATTTCAGGAAGTGATTCTAAATAAATCTCAACATCATTCCAAAGTTCAAGACTGCCACAATTTCACCTGAATTAGAATATTCATGGGTTTTAAGCTCATTAATTCTAGTATTTTTAAACCTTCTGCTTCATTATCTTTAAAATGCATTATTAGCCATCAGAGTGGTGGTATTACTAAGTAGGCAACTATTTAAAAATCAATCTGAAGGACTGGAAGTGATGTAAGTCAGTCAAAAAATCTTTATGCAACAGTAAAAACTAATTAGCTCATACATGCAAAACTTTGTGACACTGACTGAATGAAAGGATGGATGTACAAGCCTGGATGCTTCACTACAACATGCAACACCATGAGGAAAGCTTTTATGATGGCTTTTATCCAATGTTGTAACTATCTCAAATAGTCTCAGATACAGCAGGTATTAAAATACATTTCCGTCAAGATTCACAGCCTGACATGAATTAGTCAAATCAGCCAGAATCATGAAAAAAATTTCTGAATAAAACCCACTATGTGTGTGTACTGAAATAAATTACAGGAAAGATCAAGTTTACAGCTGATGTCCCATGTGGGACATCCCTGTAATTTATTTCAGTGTAAAAAAAAGTTATTGAATTTTTACAGTAGATCTGTAAATAAGAGAAGCCTCTTCTACATTAGTGTATTAATAGAAGAGTATATTTTACTTTTTTATAGACTCAAAATTCAGTGCTGCATTAAATTTACTGGTGCTGTTAAGACTGCCTCACGTATGAAATATTACCTCTGAATTAAAAAATATTACAAAATTAATCAGCAAAATGGTTTGCTGCTAAAAACTTATCTCCAGAAAAAACTTACCTGCATTTTAACATTACCTCGTCAAGTGATGTAAAAATTATCAGATGACTTCAGAGTGACTGAAAATAATGCTATTATTTGATAAAATTTATTTACAAGAGTAAACCATATTTCCAATTACCTGCACAGCAAAACTGAGGTCCTGAGAAATTAAGAGGTAGGTTTAAACTTGCTGAAATAGCTTTTCCATCTGACAGAAGCATAACTTGCACATGGATTTGGGGTGAGGCAATCCAGCCTGGGCTTCTGCAATGCATCCCCATTGGTTTTAGTTTCTCACTTCCCTGGCCTCTCGTGATGCAGGTGAGAAAATGAGCCCAAGGAACAGGCAGTTCAGCTCAGCAAAAACACCAGGTGTTACCCAGAAACTCTGACCAATCTGTGGTGTTTCAGAAAGAACTCTGTGCAGGCCATGTGAACTGAGAAGAGCGTCACTTCAGATGGAGAAAACAGAGTTTGAGTTCAGTCAGCCATCTGACTTGTGCCAAGATTGTGCAGTTTTATTTAAAGAGCTCCTGCCAGAACTGCATCCCTCTCCCAAAACCATTTACTGTTCTGCCTGCCAGAGAGGCAGATCAGATTTCTTTTCATCTTAGAGAAGGCTGAAATCTTGTACAAAACACAACTGACTTTAGATCTTACACTTCCAAGAATCAGAACATTCAACTTCCAAAGCACACCTAATCAAATAAAAATATTTAAAAGCAGCAAGAGATAAGAGCAGTCAGGAAAAAAGGCTCCCTGGGAACACCCACATTTTCATAGGGCTGATCAGCACATTAAACAACTGGCCACTAGAAGTCAGTATTTCGACATTTATTTCAGATATGCAGTTTACACGCATATTATTGAGCAAAACTGAATTGCAAATATACAAATACTGTAACAAGCATTACCAAGTAACGTAACTGGCACTAGTGTTATAAGCTATTACTGAAACTGGTGAGGATAAGTCATGGAAGAGGACTGTAGCTCATGGCATTCTGTTCATCCAATCAAACCTCCAGTAGCACCATAATGGCAATACATGAAACACAAGACAGAACATTGTTAACTGTTATTCTGAGAGTCACAACTTTTTTCATTTTAGTGAATTACTTAGCAAAAAATGTTAACAGTGCGGGCGCTTTGGCCAACTTCAGCTTGTGTTCAGCTGTACATCTCCCATTTGCAAAAAAAAAGAAAAAAGCCAGCATATTTGGAACCCATCTTTGCATTTGGGCAGTCATTGCACTGCACTTAAGATTCTGGGACTGAAGACAGGCATGTCTT